GTATCATTGGCAAGTGTAATAGTGAAAGTATTGGAAAAACTAATCAAAACTATATGGGAAGAACACCTGGAGAGAAATGATATAATATCACACTGACAGTATGGTTTTCGATCTGGAAGATCCTGTGTATCGAATTTACTCGGTTTCTATGATCGAGCAACAGAGATTTTACAGAAAAGATATGGTTGGGTTGATTGCATCTATCTGGACCTAAAAAAGGCTTTCGACAGAGTTCCACATAAGAGGTTGTTCTGGAAACTAGAAAATATTGGAGGGGTGACAGGTGAGTATCTAACATGGATGAAAAATTTTCTGATAGAAAAATGAGGGCAGTAATCAGAGGCAATGTATCGGACTGGAGAAATGACACAAGTGGAGTACCACAGGGTTCAGTTCTTGCATCAGTGATGTTTATTGTCTACATAAATGATCTACCAGTTGGTATACAGAATATTATATGAACATGTTCGCTGATGATGCTAAGATAATAGGAAGGATAAGAAACTTAGATGATTATCATGCCCTTCAAGATGACCTGGACAAAATAAGTATATGGAGCACCACTTGGCAAATGGAATTAAATGTTAATAAATGCCATGTTATGGAATGTGGAATAGGAGAACATAGACCCCACACAACCTATATATTATGTGAGAAATCTTTAAAGAATTCTGATAAAGAGAGAGATCTTGGGGTGGTTCTAGATAGAAAACTATCACCTGAGGACCGTTGTGAATGAAAGAACGAACGTTGTGCGAGGAGCCTATGCCACGCTTTCTAACTTCAGAATTGCTTTTAAATACATGGATGACGATATACTAAAGAAATTGTTCACGACTTTTGTTAGGCCAAAGCTAGAGTATGCAGTGATTTTGTGGTGTCCATATTTTAATTAACACTTTATTGCACCGCGCGCGTGAGACCCGCACTACCCCGGGTGGGCCTCAGCGTTTCATAGGAGCACACAGTAATTCTGAAAAGTGTATACAGTGGAACCTCTATTAACGAGTTTAATCCGTTCTGGCACAGAGCTCGTTATCTGGAAAACTCGTCTTAAGAAACAAATTTCCCCATTTAAAATAAAGGAAATAAATTTAATCCATTCCACTCCCAAAAACATCCATACTTGTATGACATTTTTTATGTAAATATAATACTGCACATGTAATTATAAATGTTTTGTTATACTGTTTTAATGTTTACTTTACCTTATGAAGAGTAGTTGCTGGCTTGAGGGAGATGATGGGGAGGTGGGAAGGAGGAGAGGGGTTTTGGTGTGGAAGGAGAATCCACCTCTGAGTCAGGTGGACTCTCTCTTCTTGGGAAGTTCACCCAAATTTCATTTCAAATGTCACACAAGGATGCGTTAGACCAGCACCAAATAAAAAACTACGTCGATTGCACTCGTCGTGTCAACAATACAATGGTCTTACCACGAAGATACAATACAATGCCGTTCTCCCAAATAGGCTATGTGGCTATTAGAGAAAACGGAAATTTCATTGCAAACATGTTTATACTGTCCCCAAGTCGATCGGATAAGAATTAGATTTTTTGGAAATATTTGCTCAAATGACACTTGAGCACGGTGTTTGGGTGCATTCAAGAGAAAAAAGTGTGTCATGTTCAAGCGACATATACCTGCGAAAGTGATAACACTTTCACAAAGTGGTATCACAAAGTGATAAATTAATTAAACATTTTCACACACCGGGTTGTCACTGCTTTATCAGAGCAGCTTTTCCAAGAATGTGTTCACCTTTTCAAACATTCCCAACACTTCCCTGACCTCAGTGGAAGAGGCAGCATCCTCCCTTACCTCCTCATTCCCTTACTAATGGTGTAAATTGTTGATGAGGACCTGCCATACTCCCTTGTGAGATCAGTCACACAGACACCACACTCATGCTTTGCTATAATTTCCTTCTTCAAATCCACAGTAATTGTCTTTCTTCCTCTTGACAACACTATCTTTAGCAAGCAGCTTCTTTGGCGACATTGTGCGTTACAAATTGTAGTCACAAAACCACTAAAAACACAAAGAAAAGCGCAAATAAATCGAGAGGGATGCTTATCGTGTGCAATACAACAACAACAATGGCGTCGGAGGTGTCCAAGAATTTGCGAGAACCCGCGAGACGCTAGGAAGCACCATGTGGTTTTGCTCGTTAATAGAGGTGAAGCTCGTCAATAGAGACAAATTTGCTGTGAGTAGCTTGCTCGTTACTGGAAATGCTCGTTAATAGAGCCGCTCGTTAATCGAGGTTCCACTGTACTCTTTTCAACTTTGTCGCCTCAATTATCGTCCAAGGTTTTTCAATTTGGTATCATTGTGCTCGCAATAGAATTCTCTACAGGACTAAAGGCATATAAAGTCCAAAAGCTCGGCGTACCATCCACAACAGAGAAAGTGAGTGTGTTACCCGGGAGCGTGCAAGAGTGATAAAATGTGTACACTCTTTGCACTTTTGTCACCTCAAATCCCGTCCTAGGGCATTCATTTTGGTATCATTGTGTTTGCAATAGAATTCCCAACAAGAGTATATGCATATAAAGTAAAAAACTGCAGCGTGCTCTACCCGCTGACAAGATGAAAGTGACCCAGAAAGAGAGCACTGCGCCACCCCAAGGCACCTCATTACATTAAAGAGCGCAGTAATACTGAAAAGCGTATTCTCTTTTCGACTTTGTCATCTCATTTCTCGTCCTAGGTTTTCCAATTTGGTATCAATGTGTTTGCAACAGAATTCTCTTTTAAGACTAAATGCATATAAAGCCCAAAAGCCCAGCGAGAAAGTGAGAAAGTAAGAGCGTATTACCCAGAACCGCGCAAGAGCAATAAAATGTGTACACACTCTTCATTTTGGACATCTCAATTCTTGTCCTAGGTCTTTCATTTTGGTAACATTGTGTTCGCAATAGAATTCCTTACAGGAATATATGCAAATATAAAGTCCAAAAGCCAGGCGTACCACCCACACCAAACAGAGAAAGTGACGGAGCGTAATCCCAGTGTGCGCTAATAAAATGGGTATACTGTTTTCAACTTTGTTACCTCAATTCTGGTCCTAGGTCTTTCATTTTGGTATCAATGTATTCACAATGAAATTCCCTACTGGAGTATATGCATATAATATCCAAAACTGCGGCGCGCCCCTCCTGAAATCGCCGCCGACGCAATGCTACGTCGTTACCGGAAATGTTTCTACTAAAAACCGACGCAATGCTGAGTCGTTACTGAGCGAAAATGTTAAGTCTAGCCAGCCTGTGGTCTATCCTCGCGCTCGTGCCGTTCAGATGTTTATAGCGTTCGCTATCATGCTTGGTAACGTGTCTTGGGCTCATTTCAGGCGCGGGGATTTGGAGATCGCACAGGTTCCTGGCTGCCTGTTATTTTATGAGTGTGTCTGCTCCTGGGCGTTCTTGTGATGCTTTGGGTCGCAGGTTGCAGCCTGTTATCTCAACTTCGCTTTGTGGAGTCTGTGGTGGCCACCTCCCGGATCAGCCCTTTCTTTTCCTTCTCTTTGGGTATGAAACTCCAGGGAGCCATAGGGGCTTTCCTCAGAAAACCAGGGTTGAATGTAATGAAACGCCATTTTCTGGGTGAGCCACGGAGGCTCCCTGGCAAAAGTCTGTGTTTTTTTCATGTTTGTTGACGCTTAGGTTCCGAACTGGAGTGCTATGTAGCCGGCGCGGTGAGATCCGGGGCCCCCCACTCCCCCTCTCGGGGAGGGGAGAGTAGGGCTGCACGGATGAGCGGCACGGCAGGGCAGTAATGTGTTACGTTTGCTTGTTTCCTTGGGATTGTAGGGAGTTCTACCTATCTGTTTGGTTTTTGTTGTTAGTTTCTTACCATGTGAGGTTTGTTTTGTGATGCCTACCTTTCTGGGTACCTAACCCCAGTCGATGGCAGATAAGGAAAAACCCCAACCACAGGGGGGGGGGGGGTTTCCAGGGCCAATGCTCCCTGAAACCTCTCTGAAGAGGCCAGGGTCTGGCTCATGGTCGCTGGTAGGTCTGAACTCCATAGCTAATGTCCTTGTCTAATATAACATACATTAGCCCGATAAGCTCCAGGGAGCCTCCGGGGCTCACCCAGAAAATGGCTTTTCATTACATTCAACGCTGGTTTTTTGGGAGTGTGGAACGGATTAATTAAATTGACATTATTTATTATGGGAAAATTTGTTTAGAGTTACGAATATTTGAGTTATGACCCGTCTCTTGGAACGAATTAAATTCATAAATGGAGGTACCACTGTTCTTTTGGGGCAGTATTTTGTCAAAGTAGCAATTCAAGAAGTTGGTTAGGTTTGTATTAAGGTTGTGTGTGTGATCATTTTAGGAGGTAAGCCAATTTTGTATTTTTTGGGGGGGGAGGTGAGAGGGGTTAATTTTTTGTTTAGTTTATATATAATTTTGGAGAGGAGCCATAGAATTAATGATTAGCTGGATGTTGACATATTAATTTGTCACTAAGGTACGAATTGGCAAGACTCATACCATCACTCAGTTAATTTCTGTATACTACCCTGTTGTTTCTAGTTCTTCAGTGTAGGTGTCAGTAGCTGAACAAGTCCTTGTGTATTTACAGTAAATACCTCAGTCTGGTGATTAACTGGGGCAAGCAAAAGGGTGTGTGTGGGGGGCACTTTGTAATTGCTTATTGCAAGTGTCATTGTATAGCAAGCTAAATACTTATTAACATCGCATTAACCCTTGCACTGCTCACCTATTTTCGGCAAAAACGTCTTGGTGCAATTGACAAGGACATATTTTTATTATTTTTACAAATGTTCAGGTAAATTTAATGTCAAAATGTTTCCAAAGTCAACTATTTCCATTTCAAAACACAAATAGTAATGAAAACATTAAAAAACATTAAAATATAGCCAAATTAAAAAACAAAAAGCACAACTCTCTGAGCGCCTAAAGGCGCTTTGCGCAGTGCAGTGGTTAAATTACTAGATACAAATAATATTTTACTTCTGTGTTTGCAGATTCAGCAAGTAAAACTCATTCCAAACTTATAAGGCGCCGCTTTGTTAAAGACCAGGATCGTGAGAAGCAGTCCATATACTTTGCCAAGATAGAAGAAAGGAGGAGTAAATTAAGGGATACACTTGAAATAGAGAGAAAATCACGTAGGGAAGCACAGGTATGTAAATGTATTTTATCGTATGTTTGTGAAGTGGCTGAACAATACATTAATGGTTGTAGGAAAAAAAAATTAATATATGGGGAGTATTTACTGTCAGTTAGAGTAACTTGATTAGCATTAAATGAAATGAAGTTTGTCTCACCATCATATGGTATTGCCTTAGGTGATGTATGCATTTGGTTATTGTTAGCCGCAGCCTACTTCATCAGGTTGAAAATTCAAGAGACTGTTCTGATGGATAGCTAAAGTCTTCATGAGTTCCAAATGTAGATAGACTCGTGCCAAGCAATACTCGTTAATCTTTATGGGGTGCTGGTGAGTGGCTGGGCTTTGCAGCACATTTGCAGGCAGCTAGTAGTGGTAATCCCATATGAAATACCAAAGGTGGTGTGATATGGATGGCCCACTCTCTAATCCACTTATCAATACAGTATCCACTCGATTTAACAACCTATATGGGGCTGTACCCTGGTCGGTATTTCCGGAGCTCCGGTATTTCCAAAGTTAAGTGTCAGTAATTTTTCAAGTAACATTCAGATAAGATATATTTTGTACAGACAGCCACTGGGTCCACCACTCTAGTGCCTTCTACTCTGTGACGTCACAGATTCACGACACATTATTTTGATTTGTCATGAGGCTGGAGTATTCATTCCGTGACTTTGTTGGACATATCTGCACAATCAAGGAACATCAGTGCACCATGTTGGCTCATAGTACCAACCATGCCAATGGCTCATGATACTTGACTTTCAAGTAGGCATAGACAGCATGCCCATACACTCTGCACCAGGAATTCTTGAAATTCTAGAATTATCAAGAATTGCAAAAAAAAAAAAAAATATATATATCACAGGCCCTAAACATCTTTCTGGGGGGAGCCCCTGCAGCTCCCCAGAGCTATCCATGGCTGATATGGATACCCTAACTATTTTGCATCAGTCGATGTGGGTGGAGTTCTAGGCCTACTGGGGACCACGAGCCAGAACCTGGCCCCCTCAGAGAGGCACGGGGAGCAATGGCCCATAGAAATGCACATGTGATTTGGAGCATTCTATATCTGCCATCGACCGGGACAGGCACCCAGAAAGGTAAGCGCCCCAAAACAAACCCCTATTCTGGTTAACAACAAAATTGACAAACGAGTGGACAGAACTCCCCCAAAAGAAAAACAAGCAAACTAGCATGACGTCACGCGAGCCGCGCCGCATGTCTGCGCAGCTCCCCCCTCCCTGGGAGGGGGAAGGGGGAGCCCCAGACCCCCGCGCCGGCGATCCACACCCCAGTTCCTCGGCTGATGGGATTGTGCATGGTCGTGTGGCTCCAGCTCCAATCTTGTTTCAGTGCTGTGACTTGTTTTCAGTGCTGCTCTTACAGTGGTCGTGTGAGCTGGGAGTAGTATTCATAGGTACTCGGGCTGCATGTGCTTAGGGTCACCTTCCCTGAGTGCCCTGTAAGTACCGCCCTTGGGGCTTGGGGTTGCCTTCCACAAGCCACCTTGGGTCTACCTCTGCTGGCTTTTCGCTGCTTGGCGTTTGGCCGCCCTGAGTGTTGGGGGTTTTCCTCCCTTGTTTACCTTGGGGTAAGTGGTAGTCATTGCACTGGTGGGGTGCAGGGTACTGCGTTGCTAGTTTTCACCTCTAACGGCGGCCGGCTCTGTTCCCTCTGGGTACGTTGTCCACTTGGGTGGTTTTTCTTTTCTTTTTGTGTTTGCCTGGTGGGGGGGGGTCTGCCTTGTTTTTCCCTCCCTTTATATTAGGGTCATTTGTGTGGTGGCACCCCCTGCTTCGCCCTCGCAAGTGGACACGTCCCGTGGGTTCAGCTTTTAGCAGTTTGCTTGGTAGTTTGGGGCGCCGGTTAGCAGTGCCCTGCCTGGGATAACCCTTAGCAGACCCAGTCTAGGGGCTCTGGAAAACCCCGCGGGGGCTCTGGAAAACCCCGCGGGGGCTCTTGGGTCCGATGGAGGAGACCCTTGCGTCCCCTCTCGCTGTGTGCGAGTTTGAGGGTTGCTCTGTCCCCTTGTCTCAGGGTGACTCTCATTGTTTTTGCCTCCGTCATGCTGCCTGTTGGGTCGGTGACACATTCGACCCCGAGTCCTGTGAGCTGTGTTGCTTGTTTGTGACTCAATTCACCCAGTCTGCTGATGAGTTACTTCGGGTGCAGGCAGCTCGTGCGTTGCATGGTAGGTTTAGGTTGTTGCAACGCACCCGGGTTCTTGCTTCCCCGGACGCCCCGCGGCTGCCCCGCTTTGTGTATAGGGACCCGGACTTGGGGGTGTTGGTTGCTTCGGCTTTGGTTCCGTCCGCGCCCCCTTGTTCTTCCCCTTCCGTGGTTCATTCGGTCCCCCCCCCCCCCTGCTTCCGGCCCCTAAGCGTCTGAGGGCTTCAGGGTCGGGGTGGGGTTTAGCGGTTTCTGAGACTCGGGCAGTTTCGGGGGTTGCCCCGTCCGGGGGGGCTACAGAGGCATTCGAGTCTGTTCCGGGCGATGCTCCAGGGTCTGACCAGTGGGCCCCTTCTCTTCCGGAGCTTTCGGCTGCCCCGGCTTTTTCTTGTGAGGCCGGGGCTTTGGAGGAAGGCTCGGCCCTGGAGCCTGGTTTGGAGGCTCCTGGGGTTGGGGAGGAGCTGACTTGGGGGCCTTGGGCTACATTGGACCCCGCCTGGATTTTCCGCCCTTCTGAGCGGGGCTTACTGTTGCAAGGAGTGGGGTTTTCCTTTCCCCCCTCTGCGTACAATTTGGACTTGGGTTCTGCTCCTCCCCGGGTTCGGTTCCGTGTTCCTGCGGGTCCTTCGGTTCCGTCTTTCCGGAGGTTTTCAGCTTCCCGCATCTCTCCGTCTGAGGTGCGGTCGGCCTTGGCGGCTTCCCTCCTGCGTGACCTGGAGTACGTCTCCATAATGGATCCTTCTTCCTTCAGGTTTGGATCTTTATGTCCGTACTGGGTTCGTTATGAGGTTCCGGGGTCGTCCTGGCTTGCAGACTGCCCCTTGTTTTCGCTGGATGCTTGGGACTCGTTCTGTCGAACCCGCACGCTTGAGTGGCGTGAGGCGTTGACGGTGGTCCAGGTTTACCTGGGGGGCGATTTTGAGCACCTTAATGAGTGTCTTTTTGCTCCTGCCCTTCTGCGGGACGTTGGTGCGGTGCAGCTCCATGTGCAGGTTCCTTCCCTGTCGGCTGCTCTTGTGGTGGAGGTTTTGCGCGCTCGTGGCTTTTTGGCTTCGGTCCTGCGTTTCTTTTCCCTCCTGGAGCTATCTTCTGATTGGCTTGCGGAGGATGTTGAGGCGCTTAGGGCCGTTCCGGGGTCTGACGCCTTAGTCTCCGCTGCTCGGGCGTCGTCTGCCATGTTGAAGCTCTTTGCGCCTATCCTGCGGGAGGCGTTGCTGCGGTTTTTCGCTGCGCACTTCGTGTGTCGTCAGGTGGTCCTGGCTTCCTCTTTGGAATCCGCTTGGGCCCTGGTTCTTAGGTTGTCTTCTCCCTTTTGTCCTCTGCTTTTTGAGGCTTCTGCGGTAGACCGTTATATTCAGGCGGCTTCTTCCTCTTGCCGCCCTATGTCTGAGTTGTTGGTTCTCCGGGGGATCCGGGGGGTTCCTTCCCGGCGGGATCGTACCAGGGCGCGCGGTTCCGTTCGTCAGGGTGGGCCACAGGTGTCGGGTTCGGTGCCGGTGCCGCCTGCGGTTCCTCCTGTGCTTGGTCGGCGCGGTGTTTGCTCCGTGCGCAGGTTGGGTTCTCGTAAGGGGCAGCGGCCCTTTCGTGGTTCGCCCCATTGACGGGGCGATGGGGGGGAGGCTGTCTCTGTTCACTCACGCCTGGTCTCACGATTTGTGGGCTTTTCGGGTCGTTTCGCGTGGCCTCAGGTGGCGTTGGGTGGCTCCGCCTCCTTCTGGGGGTTCGGGGCTGACGGGGCAGGCTTCCTCTCCTGCGCTCCGTCAGGTCATCTTGGAGTGGGTGCACTTGGGCGTGGTCGAAACGACCCCGTCCCTCAGGTGGGTTTCCCGCCTGTTTCCAGTTCCGAAACGGGACTGTGCGGACCTGCGGTTCATTCTGGACTTGTCCCGTTTGAACCCTTGGGTTTCTTGCCCCTCGTTTCGGATGACCACTCTGTCCCAGGTCCGGCTTCTGTTGGAGCCGGGCGCTTGGATGGTGTCCCTGGACCTCAAGGACGCGTATTGGCACGTCACTATTCATGTGGGGTTCCGGGACTGGCTCGGTTTTGTGGTGGGGCGTCAGTGCTACCGCTTTCGTTGTCTCCCCTTCAGGTTGAACCTGGCACCTCGCGTGTTCACACGCCTTACTCGGGTAGTGGTGGCCCGGCTGCGTCTCTTAGGTGTTCGGGTGTTGGCTTACCTCGACGACTGGCTGGTTTGGGCTCCCAGTCGGTCCGCGTGTCTGCTTGCCAGGGATTTGGTGCTTTCCCAGCTCGCCAGGTTCGGGTTCCTGGTGAACTGGCGGAAGTCCCATCTGGTGCCCTTCCAGGTTCGGTCCTGGCTGGGTCTTGTGTGGGACTCTCGGACCGCTTCCTTGTCTCTTCCTCCAGAGTCTCTCCTTCGGCTGCAGTCTCGCCTGGGTCTGTTTTTGGGGGGCTCTCGGGTCACCCGGCGGTTGCTCGAGAGTTTGTGCGGCAGCCTGAACTTCGCGATGTTGGTCTACCCGCCGGGTTGGGTTTGGCTTCGTCGGCTATTCTGGTTCCTTCGGGGACGTCCCTTCCGCCTCTCTCGCGATCGCTGGGTTCGACCCCCGGGGGCTTTGTGTCGGCTGCTGCGTCGCCGGCTTCCTCTTCGGGTTTTTCGGGGTTCAGTGCCTTGGCGCCTACCCGAGCCCTCGCTCGATGTTTACACGGACGCGTCGTCTCTGGGCTGGGGTTTTGTGACCAGTGCTCACCAGGCCGGCCAGGGACAGTGGGGTCCGTCCTTCCGTCGGGTCCACAGCACAATGCGGGAGTTTGCGGCGGTGTGGTTTGCGCTTCGGAGGATTCGAGTTGCCCGCGGATCGACGATCCGGCTCCA